CTCTCTCTCTCACGAGGGGGGTGAAGCCACGGGCGAGAATGATGATTCTCCTCCTCCTCCGTGAGCGACGAAGGGACATGCGGTTTGTTTTATTATAACAAGTACGACAGCCTGAGCAATAATACTGTTAAAGAATCGTCAAAATCAAACGCGGCGAAAGTTTATTAATTCGACTAATACTGCAACATGGTTTCAGCATTTCACCGTTGTACGCTCTCCTTCTTTATACGCTCTGTTATTATGTACAGCTCACTGGACTTACCAGTGTACCTTCTTCAACTGTTTGACAAAATTTCTCACCGAGTGACGAAACCACAAGCTACCACTAATTAGCCACCATAACACATATTGTGCGTCCATAATTTCTCAGGCACCACATACAGATTACAATTTTTTTCCAGTCCACACAAATAGATATGGACAAAAAAATTCTTAGCGACCACGAACAGATTGTGGTCCCAAAATGCCTCATCCACCAGAAATAGATTGTTCGCCCACAAATTTCTCAGTCACCACATACAGATTATGGGCCTGAAAATTCCTTAGCCACCACAAACGGTTTGTGCTCACAAAGATTTCTGGCCACGCACAGACAGATTGTGGTCTGTAAATTGTCCTTAGCCACCTCAACATAGTATTGTGGAAACATAAAAATTATTAGCAGCACCACAAACAGATGGGACAAAAAATGTCCTAAAGTATTAATATTATCCGCCTATAAGGCTAAAGCGGGCTTATGTCAGGCTGCAAGCCGCACGATCGAGCGAACTGGCCTGCAATTTCACTGCGACTGCAGTGCTTAGGTCGCGAGTCGAGCTGCAAGCGACTGCTGCGACTGGCCACCATGCACTAGTTGCTCGAAATAGACACATATCGGGCAACTCGGACGCAACTAGTCGCTGCCGGATCGCGCTACAGTGCCTTCGCAGTCGCAGTCGGCTTGCAAGCCCGGGACATAAGCCCCCCTAAGAAAAAAGATGGTTTGTTTCTTGCCCTAACGAGCTGACTAAAATTGGACACGCGTAGGCAGGCAACTTTTTTACTTATCAATATTTTATTCCATTTTTGTGTCATTCTAAAAATAGCTGTTTATATATATACTTATAACAGCCCATATAACAACTTCAAAGTCAAATCAATGCATTCACTGATCGATATTACGTTGGGATTTTTTTTAGTTAAAAAAATATTTGTTCTTTTTTTTACAATTTTTTGCGCGATCAGCAAATATAAGTTTTCGACACCGGGTGTTCTATATAATGGACTCGGTCGGGTTAGCGGAAACAATGGGGTGGAACGTCTTTTTTTAGGCCTAAAGGTAATAATGCCATCTATCAGTATAATGTGTATTCTACAGTGCACCATGCTTGAGTCTATTAAATGCTGGATGCCAAACTTTGTCACAATGATTCAGATTTATGCCATTGTTTCAATTCAATTTTAATTAATTTTGGGGCAGCTAGCTTTATAGTATAATGGGTGTATATCTATCTAGCCAGTTCTGATTTATGTTTTTTGGATGTACAAATAAATTATTGTGCTCTGCCATTTCTAAAATATAGTTATTCTAATATTTTTGTTCTCAAAGCTCTCAAATTCCTTACATTTTCTTACAAAATACAATTACCTGAGAAATTTCATCCGCAAGTATGGAATTTCCTCAGTTTAAGAAATTTTCCTTAGAAGTGAAAGTGTTGAGAGTCTGTGACTCACGTTGGCCCCCACAGGGGCGGTTTCCACGAAGCGTACTTAAGTATTGAATCGTGATTAAATCCACTATCACGATTTAGCTTCTCGTACTTAAATTAAAGCTGACTGTTGGTCACGAAGCGTAATTACTTTAAATCATGATGTAAGGTTAATCCAATATCTTTTAAAAAAATGTTTCTACTCAGAGCATGATTAAATCCACTAAATCATAATTACGTGCTAGCTACTAGAACTTAGAAGTCAGTATAAGTACTAGTATATTAGGTAGCGCTGCCAGATTTTGCCAATTTGGAAATTTTACTTCAAATTTTTCCCAAGGAAATTTAAATTAATCCTTAAGTTTGCTGCTAGCTACTTCAATCATTATAGTTACAAATTAATTCCTTTTCATGTACCGAACTTTGAAGATATTTTTTGGCGTATTGGTCGCCGATATTGAATACCGTGTAATTTGTTTTAAGATTGCTACTCGCTCCCACCTTGCATTTACTCGATTCCCATCGAGTAACTAAGCCGAGAGGGCGAGCGAGTACCAGTCTATTCATGCTTGAAGTCGGCTAATTAGAGTGATTATAGTTAAATATGTACTTAAATCGCTTCGTGAAACAGATTTTGAGTATGATTAACTAATCATAATTACGCTGAAGTTAAATATGATTAGTGATTTAATCATACTTAATGTTTAAGTACGCTTCGTGAAACCGGCCCCCATTCCTTAGAAGTGAAAGTGTTGAGAGTCTGTGACTCACGTTGGCCCACCAGATCGTTACATAATTTCAGCCAACATCAATCAATCAGCAAGCACCTGCCGCCCACGAGTCTAGCAACAACACAGCAACGACGTGTACACTGTAACAATTACACTGTACACGGTAACAACACTGACAGACAAAACTCACAAACCTGAACCACAACCAAATGATGATGTGCAGCACTAGACTGGCAGTAAGTCTATATACTGCCTCTAGATAAATTCATTTTAAAACCTCATTTATCCTACAGCACCCTCAATAGTCCAGGAGCAAATTCCTGTACAACCTCTAAAAATGGAATTGGTTCAACAGTCACTACATCTAAGGTTTGACTTGACAGGATCGTCGAATAGACCCCCTGGAACACCCCCAGGTATAGTATGTAGTCTCAAATTGTGGTGTCAGTTTTGTGCTATAGAAGCCATTTTATAGACAAGGGTGGGTGACGCGACACCGTTAAAAGATGTGGGGTATAAATAACATAACAACTCATATCTTTGCTAATAGTAAACCAATTTTAATGATTTTGGTACCAATCGGTACGTCTTAGAAATTGCTACCATAAAAAAATGTTAACCTACTTAAGAGGTCACTTAAGAGGTCACTAGAGGTCACTACAAGTCAAAAGGTCATGTGACGGGCATTTTTCCTTAAACTGCAGTAACGATTGCCAAATATAAATAAAATGTTGCTACATGAGTTTGCTTATGTTTATTTTACCCTAGGGTGACCATATAAGGAGTCCAATAAATATTAACTATTCATCTTGAACGGCTAACCCATGGCAGCAAATGGAATAGTGAATGAAATCCGTGACATGATGACCATTCAAATTTCTGGGTAGGGGTAACTTGTAATTAGACAACATGTGCACATCTTCCATTACAAACAGACATAAATGTTACAGCATTAATTAGGTTCAATACTCTAATTCATCATTTCTTCACACAGTGTCTCTTACCATTGTAGCATCGCAAAGGACCAAGAAAATGATATCCCTCCTCCCTGGCATTTTTGCCTCCAGTGTCGCCAAACCTGAGTTGTGTAACTGGCAGGAGGGTCTTGTTGTTAAGTAAACCGTTGTCGCTAAGCCAAAGTTCTGCGTTACTGTCACAGTTGCACCTGTGAATGATGATGTGCAATGAATGAATTGTAGTTCACAACTTGATTTCTTCCCGCGACTAGTATTAGTAAGGTCGCATCTTCTCACAAGGGCATTACCAAATTATCCAGCCTAAGAGAAGGACAGGAGTACAGATAGCAACACACATAATTGCTGTTATAATTTATAAGCATCAGTAATTTCAGTTGTTAACGACATTCTGATATAAATGTTCTATCATGAACAGCATGTATAAACCCAGCCGGGATGCTGTGTGATTATTAAGTCACAGTAGCTTACCTGTATATATTTCGCGTCGTTTTGAAACATTCTCTAAACTCAATTGATGATGTTAGCTTGTTTAACAAGTTTGAGTCATGTTGCAAAATTGCTATATAACCACAAGTATGAAGCTACCATACCTCTTCGCAGCTATTATCAGCTACTTTTCAGAATCCATGTAAATAACTCAGCTGCCTAGCTGCTTTTAGCAGTAACAGTTTTTCTCGTCAATGCATTGTGCAAGTTATTCTACTGGAAATCAGATTTAGGATAGGCCCTATATGGCTATAATCCTATCGTCAAATGTCTTCACACACACTCCCGGTATTAGTACAATACAAAAACACCTATATATACACCATATATAATCATGAAGTAATTTCAGTGACATTTTTTGTTGATAGTGTATAACCAGAACTGCCATCAAAATATGTTGAAATGTTATTCACGTGCAATACTTCATTACTCACACTTCCCCTCGAGTAAAGCAGGATCGGTTTTTGGTGCAGGCGCATTCACCGCTATTCCATGGAGCTCCTCCCCAATCAAACTGCCTCTCGTTGTCACGCGATTGCCACCAAGCATACCTGCGATTAATCATAATAGCCGATAATATATAATAAGACGACTGATAGCAAAATAGCTAAATTGAGTGACCTATTTTTTCAGTAACAACTATCTTCCCGGCTATTCCGTAATACAAGCCTTCCGTATTATCGTTGTTAACGTAGCAATTAAGCACAAAACTCACACTAAATTGACAAAACTAATTAATCATTAATTCAACTATGCGATTGTGTATAACTATAGGCCTTGTCACATTGTGCTTCTGTAACACGGTACCGTACAGCGAAATTGGGCGTCTCAGATTATGACAGACACAGGCACTTGGGCTGATAGGTACTCCTATCACTTGGTACCCCTATCACTATCACTTGGGCTGATGGGTACTGCCAGAATGTACCCTGGGCAGGAGTCCTATATTATCTTACTCCTGCCCTGGGTACACCGGAACGTACCCTGGTAACTATCTGATATGGTTAGGGTTAGGGTTAAGGTTAGGGTTAAGGTTAGGGTTAGGGAGTAGGCGTAGGCGACTCCCTAGGCTCGTTAGTGGAGTAGGCGAGGTATGGTCCGGCATATTAGATAGTACCAGGGTACGTTCCGGCAGTACCCAGGGAGACATAGACCCTGGCAGCGGCACTTGGAGCATTTCAATAAAATATAAATAATATTATAATGCTAAATAAATACGAAATCTATTTACTACCGAAGTCTTAAAGGACAATTGAAGTCAAATTCGCACTATATTTATACTCTACAAGACAAGTAACGATAAAGTTCGATCACCATACGAGTCAGAACTTCAACACATTTAGCAGTAACATTTTGATATCGCTGCAATTACTCTCATCTGGCGTCTTTTTATGCTGTAACGTACGTGTATCGTCCTATTACAACCTACAATCGCTACAATACAACATATGCGCGTACGCGACACCATTACCGAATACCGTATTACCGAATACGTATTACCGAAACCACGTTTAAATACATCGAGCTTCGTGCTCCGTTATCTATCATATTCATAATCGTCATTTAACACCGATGTGGACCTGACAACCTTGTCACTTCCACACATCATATTTACAGCAATATACAAAAACGCAAAACTGATTTTCATATTTTCGATTAAATGTTTTAGGCCTATATCAAACTCTAATTGAAGAATGTTTTAGCAGTCTGACATATAGTGTAAACGTACCGTTAGCGACAAATTCAACACGATGACAAATTTTCTACACACACGTTTCACCACCAAGATTACACGAATGAATACTACAATGAACAGAGGATAATAACACGTCCCGTAGGCTTTGAAACAAATCGTATATCGCAAAAATGTTGCGTACCTTCGCAGGTGTGAGCTTCAAGATATTATAATATGCACTTTTTGGTAATGCAATAGGAATAATGGATCATGAAGGTGTGGTTAGTTTTGGGCTCTAGGGTACATTTCCCTCTGTGCTATCCTCCGAGTCATACTTATACCGGTGACACCTAAACAGAACAATTACCCCTCTCAGGTGAATCTCGTAGTTCTGCTAACACGGGCGTAAATCTACCTGTGCCCCTACCTCACATACTCCCGCTCTCCTGTCCCACCATTCTGTTCGTGGACAACCTCAGCGAGTCGAGGGCGTATATCCCAGGCCCTTGCATTAACTCTGTGCATCTACCTAGCACCTCGACTTATTCCTTAAGACTATATGCCTTGTCTCGGAAATTCGGGCATTTACGCATTTCAGAAAAACTTGTAACCCGAAATCAAGACCCCCTACCACAGCGGTCGAGTAAAGATTTAATACTTCAACGTCTAACTAATGCCATCGTTTCTTGTATAGGTAAATTGTCATGGCTAACGTAATAAAATAATAGATGTTGAGGGTGGTGGAGGGTGATAGTGGCGGTAGTTATAGGCGGAGAAAAGTGCTTTAATATTTCGCTAAGTAATACGCTCGTACCTTTCAAAGCTAGTTTAATACGCAATCTATCTATGCGACACAAGAATTGTGTTTCACTCACCCGCCTCGAAGCTATCTCCTTGATCGTTTTGTTGTCTTTTCAGCTGATATCTCGCTATATTGTCGCTGTCCGCATCAAGCATGCTTCCTGTCGTTCCTTACGTATAGCTGAATCGCGCCGTGTTTCTGCGTCGTCCCTGCTTCTTCGTAGCCAGGTCGTACAATTGCGAATGTTCTGGCTTATATGCGCTATTTGCAGCTGCATATCACTGTCCCTATGCATTTCCAACATTTTGCGCGTATGGCGAAACTCTCATAACGAATGTCACAATCACTGCGGAATCTGCCAATCATGTCAATGTCCTTTCTTCTTTCTTCTCTTATTCTTCTTCTCTTCTTCATCTTCTTCCTCTTTTTCTCTTCCTCTCTTCATCTTCTTCTTCATTCATCGTTACAGCTGTCTTCACTACAGTGTTCCTCTCAACTTTCGTGCATCGTATAGCTATAGTACCTTTAGTTCGTTGTTTGGCAAAGGAATACCCAAGTTCGACTGGTCCTGCACCACAATGTAGGCGTGTGATTCGCAATACCGTGGTAGAAGGTCTGTAGTAGACTGATAGCGATAAGGCAAGACAAGAGTAATGTTCACTGGTGTTTACTCAATCTCTAATACAATACATAAAGTCTCCGTGCACCACCGAAAGCAAGAGCGGTTACTACACACTACACCTTTCTCAGCGGGTGGCTGGTACAAGAGCCCTAGGCGCGGCTGCGCGCCACTATTTATACGACGTTTCTTCTCCTACGTCACCTCTCGTTATAGGTTTCTTCTCTGACCAACCGGCCATACAAATACGGGGAATGCAGTCCTACGGCTGCTACATTACCCATACCGAATATGGTAGGGTATGAGTGTCTCCGCACTTGGCCGGACTCCATGGCTCGATTCCGGCCCTGATGTCATAGATCATCTGGTCAGTGTCTAGGCTGTCACAATGCGCAAGAACTCGGCAAGAACTTCGGCCTGTTGTGACATCCCTTCCGACACTGCGGCGCCAAGATTGCGTTTCCCCGCATCGCCCCCATGCTTCCCATAGTGTGTGGGCTTTGCCCGCTTACAATATGTTATGCTAGGTGAAAGTATTGTTACAGCATACAACAAACATGTAGCCTGTAAATGTACTTATATTCATGTACATACAATATACCTGTGTGGGTAATGCATTCACGGTATATGTACATGACTTGCGTAGAGATGTTTGTACATGTACAGACACATATGATTCTGACCGAGCGTGATAAGCTCGGTGATCAGTGTACTCGCATGACTCATCTGGTCTATAGCGTCGAACTGGTCTACAATAACCCAAGTTCTTCTCATTCTCATGGCAGCATATACATTCAGGTGCCGTAGTCATTAATTCACAAACACTACAAGAACACCAGTATTTGTCTACAGTCCTATCTGGTACCGAAGCTTCCATTCCACCATGTTGACTGTCTGCTGATTCTTGAGTTTGTGCCGACTCTTCGCGTTGCTTTTTCAGACGTTCTCCTCAATTTCTTCTTGTGTATATTCAGGCTCAAACCTATATCCAACTGGTAAATCTCTATAAATATCTCATCATCTGAGTAATCACTAGAATCATTGAAATTATCGCTTTCTGTCTCCATCTTATAACACCACATGCACTATGTTTACATAATGGCGTGTTTCAACAGGGGGCTGTGACGTCACATGACCTAGACTAATATTCATGTGTTTTTACTGCGGATTTTGAACTGCGGGCGCCAGATTTGAAATGGATATACGTTATTGAATGTATTTATTTTAAAATCGTTACAGAAGTTATAAAATTTGATTTCAATTGTCCTTTAATGTTTCTATACTCTCTTTCACCTATTATTGCCGACAATTTGTCTGTAAATGCCGTCCAAATGCTCATCTGCAACAAACGCTGGCTGCCGCCATGGGCCCATGACTGCCGCTGCACACTGACACATAAATATTATACTATATATATTTTTATAATTTGTAATATATATATACATTTATATTTATGTGTCAGTGTACAGCGGCAGCCATGGCGGCAGCCAGCGTTTGTTTCAGATGAGCATTTCGACGACATTTACAGGAAATTGTCGGCAATAATAGGTGAAAGAGAGTATAGAAACATTAAGATCGACTTTGGTAGTAATAGATTTCGTATTTATTTAGCATTATATTTTACAGAGTGGCTATATGCCCGGCAGCCGGCATATATCTGACGGCTGCCGGGCATATAGCCACAGCGTATATTTTATTGAAACGCTCCAATTAGTGCCTGTGATGATGATAGCTCTACTAACGCTCATAGGGTCTATGTCTCCCAGGGTACTGCCAGAACGTACCCTGGGTACGGTCCCGTCCGGTATACCCTGGTAACTATTTGATATGGTTAGAGTTAGGGTTAGGGTTAGGGTTAGGGAGTAGGCGTAGGCGACTCCCTAGACTCGTTAGTGGAGTAGGCGAGGTACGGTCCGGCACATTAGATAGTACCAGGGTACGTTCCGGTATAGCGGACCGTACCCAGGGTATACGTTCCGGTATAGCGGACCGTACCCAGGGTACGTTCCGGCAGTATACCCTGGGGGACATAGACGCTCTCAGCTCTAGTAACTATACTATCACTATGATCAGTCTGTTTCGAATCGCATATATCTGTCATCACAGTAGCTCTAGTAGTAGTAACTATAGCCCGCGTACGGTTTCCGCTGGCTGAATAGTGATATGGAAACTGACAAAACAGACAATGATTCAGCTGAGACAAAACAACAAAACAAACACGAAATTCCTACACAAGCTGTAAAATCTAGATTATGTTGCCTTGTGCGAACATAATTATGGCTGTATGTACCTGAGTCTTGCTCTGTTGCTGTAAATGACACTTCCAAAACATTCATATCGCATATACTGATCACACGTTGTGGATACTTGAGTCAGCGCGGTAAGTTGTTCTATTGTTGCGCCTTCGTATATGACGTCGTGTCGATAAGACCCTGGATCTTCATAGCCCTTTACATGAAGGCATTTGTCGGCGTTGTGAGTGACGATAGTGACGCCTGCATTAAACCGAAGATTACCAAAATGTAACAGAAATAGTTGCATTTATTTGTGATTATATCGAGCTAATAATACCTATTAGCTATTAGTATTATTAGCTCTTGATTATATGGAACAACCATGACGCGCCTAAAAACAAAGAACGTGCCTCCTTCACGAGCTGCACGTGTGGTGAAACGATACGATAAACTCAAATGTGATTGGGCGTAGTACGTGCACGTGTGCTTTTGCGTGTGCGTGGGCGAGCGCGCGTGCCTGTCAGTGTGTACACCCTTTGTGTATACCACAGACTGTATACGTGCATATTAATTTTGTTTGTATATCGCGTATATCGGTGATGGTTAATTAGGTTGTATTTTTACTACTAATAATATCAAGCACTATACCTGAACCGGGCTGCGACAGCTTGCATGTGACAGAGAACGGAAGAATCCCTCCCTCTCCATCCGGATCGATCCAGTATGTGCCGTCCTGATGACTGAACCCGCTTTCTTTGATTTCCGCACACGATTTGAAGTCTGTTGTAACAACAGTTATGCATTAGTAAAGCATATAAATAAAACTAAAAGTAAGCCACCTTTATGTGCATAATTTTAAGAACTGTTAAATTTTGCAAACGCGAATTATTACATTAGTAAGAAAAATATAATTAACAGCAGTAAATTATTCACAAAAAGGTTATCACATGTATCAAAGAGTGCACATGTGATAAAGTATAAAAATTGGTTTATGTACGATAAGTTACAAATAGTATATAATTCACTGTGAACAGATTTATCACGGCATTTCATGCGCAAATACGAGAAAAGGACGTAAATTAACAAAACGTAGGCGAAAAATTGTCCAGTCATATAAGAATGAAAGCAACAAAAAATATTTCATAATAATATTACTGTTTATTTTCAACATTCACGAAGGCATATGCGAAATTTTTTTTTTTAACTGTTCAAGCGTTATAGGCCTATGTGTGGATGAACCAGCAAAATATTACAATGCAAAATAAACAGTACAGTACAGTACAGGTTAGTAACTACAATGTATTATATAAACAATATATATAAATATATTGCGCAGTAAAACAGTAAACACATGGCATACGATCCCTGTCGCTATACGAGAATAAATTTGAGAAAAATGCAACAGAAATATTATCTGAGATATTCTACCGCGAAGTATGGATGAACTAAACCTGGACGTTGACTTGGAGCTTCCTACCAGTGTCGTTTATTTGACGGCTGTGGCCCATGCAGCATTGCTAACTGTATGTTTACGTATGTCTAAAAAAGTTACTAACACAAATCAGTATAAACTCGCAAAATAAGAGCATTCGCCAATAATGCACGAGTCACGCATAAAAGGAAACACCAGACATCGATGGCATTTACGCGTTGAAATAATTATGTGCAACCAATGCAGAGTAAAGCTTGAAGTTTTGAGAAGGGCGACAAGCATTAGGGATGACCACACCGTAAACAGTATATGCGGTGGGCAGAGAGACCTGCACAGCCTGGTCTCAGACAGTCTGTGCCGAAGACATATATCTACCTGGCTTTAACGGCCTGACTACAGTGTTATTGTCCGCACCAGCTGTTTCATTTCCCGGTGACAATAACGTCCCACAAGTCAGGACATTGCTTGGCCAATTGCACACCTCCAGGTAGGGATCATAAAGAGTTCCCCGTGGGCACGGTTTGATTGACCTAAGACCGTGGTCACATTGGAGGAACAGCGAACAGTCTTCCTTGACGGGAAGGTATCCAGTTGTTGTATCGCAAGGCAGCAGTAGATATTTGGTGCTATGCAGCCATGGTGACCCTGCGCATATAAACACCCTGTCTGCTTACACCATATACGTTATTTATGTAACGCGCTGGTAGTTGGAACAGCATTGTTGCCGCACTGCGGATGAATTAATAATACCACCGTACGTGCCAGGTAACGCTCGATCACGTACGGGCATGCTGTTGGAATTTTTGAAAAGGCAAACATAATTATCGACCTCGAACTGCTGCTGGTTAAATTAGTCTATGCTATAAGAGAGCCATTATTGATCTGTATTTTTCCGAAAGATTATAACGGCTGATGCATTGTACCGATTTGCTACTATTTTGCATATATGCATTTGTATGCGTGCGTGCGTGTGTACGTGCGTGTGTGCACTGGCATGTGTGTGCACCACTACCGCCTGCGTGTAGGCCTATAATTTATTTTATGTAGATTGATTCAATGTACATTTACTTGCACGGCGTTATACGTATGTATATATATATATATATATCCTTGCCACCCAAGGCAAAATGGTATTGCTTACGTGCAATGCTCAATGATCAAAATCAAGTGATCGAACAAACATACTAATGCAACAGATATTGCAGATACAAAAAACAAATGATTTCATATAGAGGATTGAGCAGATGCAAGATTCGCTAAGATGTGAGCTGACCAGGTAGAATAAGAAACTTTGGCAATTATTTTGCAATTACTTACGTTGTACAAGTCTTTCGACAATTGCTGGTTCTACCTCATCTCCTGTGACAAGTAACACAGAAATGCTGTCAAATATCACAAATAAATGAAGATATACATAATATATATTATATATATATGAAAAATATTTCTGAAGCATCTAAGACTGGCTTGGCTTACAAGACTATGACACATTAATGAGTTGAAGCTCGACACATGAGTTAAGCTTGACACATTAATGAGTTGAAGGCTACAACTTAACTGCACGATATATAGAGAAACCGACACGAACTTCTAATTATGCGAAAACTTTATATCGTTAGTACCCATCTACACAGTAATCTTGCAGGAGCAGGAAGCACGTGTCCTTTAATTTGTTTTTGTTTTTAGTATGGAACTGAGCTAGCCTCGATGTAGAGACGAGTCGAACGAGTTATTTTTCATACGATGGCGGTCAATATAAGCAGACAATGTAAAACTGGAAAGCACATATCATCGACGATGATATCGCGCTTGTAAAAAAAACTATACGCGCTGATGAAATATGTCGTTTTAATATGTTAAATTTTAATCTGCGCTTTTTCATATAACTCTGGTTACCGCCACCCCGTTTACATTAAAATCAGGATTGACAGACTCCTGTTAAAATGTTATATTCACAATTTAACCAAGTGGTTACGCCATATCCCGTCGAGGACTGCTAAATTTCCGCCAAAGCCCCATGCTAAAATTGATCGTATTCAGGTATAGGCACATGACTAGAGCTCGGCACCCAAGTTCCGGAATTTATGCTATACAGACACTTTGTGGTAGATCTTTGGTGGTCCAGAGAACAATACATAGCTATGTTGTGTTCTCATTCTGCTACCGCATGCTCGCTATGCGCACTAATTAATAAGGTAGCTGTCAACACACGTGTATCACGGCAGGTTAAGCTATATAGCGATCATTTCATGCATGCTCTAGCTACCACACTCACTGCAACACACACACAGTCCCGGGGCGAAATCCAAGACTTAGAAGTGGTGACTCCTAGTCCAATCCTCAAGGTTAATATTGAGGATACTCTCAAGTGAGTGCAAGCCGCTGAGGCAGTTTTTGAATATGGTTTCTATAATTTTATGGGCAATAACAAGAGCTCATATCTCTCTCAGACTGTAATAAAAGGCCAATAAACTGCGTCCTGCTTCGAATATTGCTTTATTGTAATTCGTAGACAGGGAGGCAGACGTGAAGCCAACCAATCCTTGCCCACGTGTACCGGTGCCCGTGGCCGTGGCCTTGGGGCGGCCGTGGCGGCCGTGGCTAGGTGCGAAGTGCGCTACCACTGCAAGCCCTTCCTACGGTCACTCACTTACCGACTTGACACGAGTAAGAGACCTTGGCGTATTTCTTCACGTTAATACATGGATCGCCGCCCACGGCTCGGTTCGTCACAGCGAGCCGGCACGACGACTTCTCCGCACATTGGTCGTGTATGTTTGTCAGACGCCGCACAGAGATGCGATCGAACGTGCACGTGCCCGTGTTTTTGGCGGGACAGATCGCAGCCGAGTTCGGCTCTCGGCCGTAGCGCACGGCGTGTATTTTAACGAAGCCATTGCTGCATTGCACCGTTACCGTGTCACCCTCGCACACTACTAGCTGCTCTGCGCAGCCGGATGAGTCAGAATCACCTTCAGACATAAAATGACAAACGTCCGTAAAATAGTCAAATACATGTGCATTGTCGATGCGCGTATATACGTTGTAACTAACTATGCGCAGATGTGCACGCACAAACGAACGAACGCACGCACGCACACACACACGCACACACACACATGCACACACAAATACACACAAATCACACGCACACACACACACATGCACCAAACACACACACACACGCGCGCGCGCCACACACTACACAACAACACACACACACACACACACACACACATACACGCACACGCCACGCACGCACGCACCACGCTAGCCGCACCAGCACAACATACACGCACGCACCGCAACTCCGCACGCACGCCACGCACACACAGCCCGCACGCACGCCACACACACACATCACACACACACACACACCCACACATACACACCACACACACACAACACACACACATCACACACACACACACACACACGCGCGCGCGCGCGCGCGCGCGTATACAGCTTAGTATCCAAAGGAGCATATTGTACAATATATGCTGCTCTTAGCAGCGGTTATAAGTGACGCAGAACATGCCCATAAGTAGATTATAATATAGATGTAGGAAAAGCGAAAATTATTCACATATTAATTGCTAGTGCGGAGAGAAAATCGTTCACTGTTAGCGCACGCATGGATAGCATTCGTAACATGATATCTGGTAATGTATAATGAGTGCTGTTATGTGCCTAGTGTCAGTGACCGCGTTTACTGCGCGACATCGATTATGTATTTGTTTGTTTACATCGACAATTTATTGATTTGCATTAACAGTATTTGTTAGTTGCTGATAGCTTTGAAACCATAAATCATTCTAAAAATTACTCTACGAATGCTTCTGTCAGCTAATCTCTTACTGTAGTATATAAAACCGTAAGGTAATATAATCGAGATATATATCAATAACAACAACAACGTAGTTATAAATGTGCTGAGCAATCGATGTAATACCTCCGATGGCTTATTGATTTACTGGCAAACGAGTTATTAATATGATCTATATCGATGAGCTATTTGCGCCAACAATTACTAGCAAATGAAACATGTGCGGACAGATCATTAAACTCACATGATGACAAAAGGATTACAATAACTGCTAATCGGCTCGCCTGGTATTCAACTGGTAGACGTGGTGGTAGCTGCCTACAAGGCAAACCAGGCGACCAGGAGTCGTTGAACTCTGGGGCCATGCAGCTGTCGCTATGACACGGGAAGGGTACGTTACGGCACACACGCGCGCAAGCGTTATAAAGCAGTTTGAACGACGTCATAGCCTCGCGGCCAGAGCCAATCACGACACAATAAATAGTGTGTGTGTGGTTGTTGTCGTGTGTGGCTGGTGTGTGTGTGTGTGTTGTCGTGCTGCCGCGCGCGTGGTGCGTGCGAGCGTGCGTGTTGTGTTGTGTGTGGTGCGTTGCCGTGCGGGCGTGCGTGCGTGCGTAGCGTCCGTGGCGCTTGCCGCGTGTGTTGTATGATGATGCTGCTGTGTGTGTGTGTGTGGGTGTGTGTGTGGTGTGTGTGTGTGTGTTGTGTATGTGCTGTTGTCTGTGTGTATGTGTGTGGTGTGTGTGTGTGTGTGTGTCGTGTGTAGTGCGGTGGTGTGTGCTGTGTGTGTTGTCGATACATTACATGTTAACCGTATGTCATTTTACTATTAATCATAGCACAATTAGTGCCACATAATTATACGAAAACCTAATGAATCAAAAGTTATGATAGCACACAAAGTCCCTAACACAGTCGGTGCAACTAACTCTACGAACATTAAACAAATAGTTGCTACCATCTTATCAGTTCTTAACATGTGTGCAGCAGCTATATTGAGCACTAGTTTAGCGAAGCATATGCTTTTCCGAATATTTTGAATTTTTTTATTCCCGTCACGGCTCACAAAATTAATGGTACTCCCGATTGTAAATTAAAATTTAGCCATGCGAAGCTTAGCTACATAATCTTCTAAGTCTACCCCCATTTAGGCAAATCACGTCTACCGTATAGTTTAACTAGATTATTGTAAATGTAGAGTTATCATTTATACGTGTATGATGAAAAACTTATGGAGGATGTTATTTTTTTCTGAGAA